GTAATCCCAGCACTTTGGGAGGCTGAGGCGGGTGGATCACAAGGTCAGGAGATCAAGACCATCCTGGTTAACACGGTGAAACCCCGTCTATACTAAAAATACAAAAAATTAGCCGGGCGTGGTGGCAGGCACCTGTAGTCCCAGCTACTCGGGAGATTGAGGCAGGAGAACGGCGTGAACCCAGGAGGCGGAGCTTGCAGTGAGCCGAGATCATGCCACTGCACTCCAGCCAGGGCAACAGAGCGAGACTCCATCTCAAAACAAAACAAACAAAAAAAAAAAACCATAAATTAATGATATTAAATACATCTTAGGAAAAAAAAAAACAAAAATGGGGAAAGATAAACCAGTAACTTATCTGAATTCTTAAAAAATGCCAATGACCTAAATGCCTGTACCAGAACCTCCCATAGGTGGAAAGGTATATCTAAGACTCCTGGAATCTGGCTCCAAACACAATAATACACTTTAAGAAAAATATTAAGATGTGAGTCTAAGATCTTAATTTTTCAATAGACAAAATTAATCTTCTGTAACATTCACTAATAATCTCCAATACTTAGCAAAATGCTTGGTACATAATACCGAAAACACTTGCTGAATAAATGATTGTGGCTAATATTTTTTAATGGTAACAGCAATATCACTAAGGGGAGGCCAAGAGATATACGTAATAGGTTGATCATTTTAAAAAGTCAAAAGGAAACACAACACCTGCATTGTTCTTTGTAATCTCCAGATTACTTAATTTCCTCTTTTTTTAAAAAAAAACTACTTGTATAACTTGTACCAAAAGTTGTTCTTAAGATATGGAGAACAGGAGAGAACACTTTCAGTGGTAGCTCTCAGTATTAAGGTTAGAAAATTATAGTCCTTCCCATGACAGGTGTGTTTTGTTAAAAAATAAAAATAAAATAACATTTTTTAAAAAAGGAAATTATCGCCTTAAATCAAAGAAAATTGTGCCACAGGAGTAGTAACAGCCTTCAAAGGGTCTGAGGCCTCAGTCAAGGACTGTTTTCCACAGAATCTATCCTAAAGTCTTAGGTAACAGGTGAGGATGTGTAATTGATAACTGGGCTCAAGAAATGACACCCGAAAACAATTTTGTAAATATACCCACTACTTTCAGGCTGGCATGTAAAATGCTCAATAAACTATACTTTTAAACTAATGAGAAACAATAATGTATAAAAGTCATTTCATTCATTTTCACATTTTAAATTGGTATAGATTTCATTATGTAAATAATCATATTATGATGTAAATAAATTTTAGTCATTTCTAAAGTGATTTTAAACTAATTTTTATATACAAAAAAGACTAATTCCTTTAGTAGAATCCATTTTATCTTTGTAATATTTGAGACGTATGAACTAAATTACTGCACACTCTTCAGTTCCCTACTTCATAAAATTACTTGTATTTCATATGCATGAGCTAGAAAAAAAATCTTTAAAGATTCAATCAATTCCCTCATTTCATAAATAAGAACATCAAGGCACAGAGAAATTGAATAGCTTATCTAAATATACTTCAACAACTAAGGACAATGGTGAAACTAAAGCCCCTGTCTCTTAACACTGAGTCCAATGTTCTTTCTAATATATAATGAAGTCTTCCTTATGGTCTATATTAAATTCAAAAACAGATATTTGGAAAGACTCCTCTTTAAAGGAGATTTTTTTTAATGACAAATCCTAATACCCAATCTGAAAATAAAACTCCAGTGCAGACTTCATTACAACCATGTTCCGACAGGAATAAAGTTCTAGCAAAAATTCAACAGCAGTGAAAATAAACTTTTCTGACAGAATTTGCACAACTAGGGAAAATAAAAGTAGCAATATGATTTTCCTATCCAAGAAATATGTGGAGTCAGCCCAAACCAGAAGTTAATTTTTTTTAAAGAGGCAGAGTCTCTGTCTCCCAGGCTGGAATGCAGGGACACAATCATAGCTAACTGCAGCCTCGAACTCCTGGGCTCAAGTGATCCTCCCACCTCAGCCTCTGACTAAAGGCAGGCACCAACCACCATGCCCAGGTGTGTGCATGTGTGTGCGTGTGCAAGCGTGTGCAGTGACAGGGTCTCACTATGCTGCCCAGGCTAGTCTCCTGGCCTCAAGCAATCAATCCTCCCACCTCTGCCTCCTATATAAGTTAAATATTTCTATAATTTTCAAACAATAGTAAACAAAACATTTGCCCAGTTAAAAATAAATTGGCTGCTCTGTCTATGGAGTAGCCCATCCTTTGTTTCTTTCCTCCTCTAATAAACTTGCTTTCACTTTAAAAAAAACAATTAATGTTTACCATGTACTACTGATTTCTAGAAGATACTTAGCTTCTGCGTTACCAACTTTCCAATCTTAAGCATGAGCTCCATTTGAAAGTATCCATATCTGTAAAAACAAGATTCGTTTGGGTGCAGTGGCTAACACCTGTAATCCCAACACTTTGGGAGGCCAAGGTAAAAGGATTGCTTAAACGCAGGAGTTTGAGACCTGCCTGGGCAACAAGTAAGACCCCATCTCTACAAAAATTAAAATTTAGCCTAGCGTAGTTGCTTACACCTGTAGTCCCAACTCATGCCCATAGTTTCAGCTACTCAGAAGGCTGGGACAGGAGGATCACTTCAGCATAGGAGTTTGAGACTATAGTGAACTATAATTGTGCCACTGCACTCCAGCCTGGACCACAGAATGAGACTCTGTCTCAAAAAAAAAATTATTAATACCTAACTTACAAATCTGACATAAAGATGAAAGAAAATATACGAAAACACTCATCATATATTCTCTATTATTTTCTTCCTTTTTTCCTAAATAAGAAAAACTTCCATGTGGGGGCACGCAAAATATTTTAGATACATTTAAAAGAGTATGTTCTAAATACGGAAAACACAAATTATTCCTAATCTTATTATTTTTTATAAAGGGCCTTTATTAAAGAACGTATTCTCACTTTAAGACATCATTCCCTCTGCTTTCGCATCTTATTTCTCAACACTTCCTGGTATTTTGTTTATATTTTCTCTCACGGAATTTGTTACCTTGCCATGGACAACATTCATTCAACAGGCATATAATTTTATTAAGGACCAAATGTACTTCAAACACTGGAGACACAAACATAAATAAAATATAATAATTTGTTCTCAAGGAGTACATCTTCTATTGAAAGAGACAGATACGTAAGCAAATGATTGTAAAACACTTTATGCAATCATGAACAATACATGAGAAAGATTAAAAAAAAAGAAAAACTACCTAATGACAGGGGAGGTAAGAGAGCAAGTCTATACGTGATGTTACGGTTTGAATGTGTCTTCCTCAAAGTTCATGTGTTGGACACTTAATCCCCACGCAACAGTGGCAACAGTGGTGAGGGGTAAGACCTTTAAGAGGTGATTATGTCCTGGGGGCAGAGCCCTCATGAATTAATGCCACTGTCACAGGAGTGGGTTCCTGATAAAAGGATGATTTCTGCCCACTTCCCTCTTGCTCTCTCTCACTCACTCTCTTGCCATTCCACCTTTCTCCATGGGATGACACAGCAAGAAGGTCTTCATCAGATAGATGCCAGTGTCATGCTCTTGGACTTCTCAATCTCCTGAACCCTGAGCCAAATACATTTCTTTTTTTTTTTTTTTTTTTTTTTTTTTTTTGAGACGGAGTCTCGCTCTGTCGCCCAGCCCAGGCTGGAGTGCAGTGGCGCGATCTCGGCTCACTGCAAGCTCCGCCTCCCGGGTTCACGCCATTCTCCTGCCTCAGCCTCCCAAGTAGCTGGGACTACAGGCGCCCACAACCGCGCCCGGCTAATTTTTTGTAATTTTTAGTAGAGACGGGGTTTCACCGTGGTCTCGATCTCCTGACCTTGTGATCCGCCCGCCTCGGCCTCCCAAAGTGCTGGGATTACAGGCGTGAGCCACCGCGCCCGGCCACATTTCTATTGTTTATAAATTAACCAGTCTGTGGTATTCTAACAACAAAAAAATTGACTAAGACATGTGGATGTGGGCTACCCTCAGCTGTTAACAAGTAAAATACTAACAAGAACCTGAAGATCAGGAAACACTATTAGAAATAACATTAAGTGAAAAATCTCAAAGTAATTCAAGCAAACATTTACAGTAAACAGCGATGGTAGAAAACAAAATCTCAAACTACATATTATAGAGACTAAATCTATATAAACCCATTATAATATTGGAGGAATATTCTGAGATTGTGAATTTGACATTTTATCAAGAAAGCCCAAAAGAAGTATTAACAAGAGAAAATAAATATTTCATAGCCCTGAAAATCTTCTTATAAAACCCAAGGGAAACTGTGTAAAAGTATTATAGCTTTTAGAGCAAATAAACTAGTACTTGAACCATTTTGAATTCCCTGAAACATTTAACTACATCCAATAAATACTTTTCACTTATTATGGACATTACACATTATGTCACCTCCTGAAATGTCCAACCCTCACTGACCTACATGAAAATCAGGACTCACACTTTGGCATTCTGCATTTTAACTATGCCATAATAATACTCCTCATTTCTGAGAAGAATGAAACATACTGAGATATTCAGTGACTTTATAATGCTGAACTAATAAAAGCAAAGTCACTGTTATTTTGTTTCAAATCAAAATCAGACTTTAAACAAGCGTATACAAAATGTTATCTGATAAGCCGCCCCAGAATATACAGCCTCTTCTAAATTACTGTATCTGTGAAAGGCACAGAAAATGATGAAAACTCAGACTGTCAAAAAAATTAAGAGCCATCACGAAGCTACCGTCAGAATCTGAAAGAGCTTACTAAAAAAAAATCTAGATTTTCCAGAACAACGCCTTACTTCATGAAACAAAAAATGTCCAAACTATTACCTTATCCCAGTTGTACCCTATCTCAAGGACCGAATGTTCTGTCTCGATGAGAAAATGGGACAGAGACCTCCATGCAGTTCAATCTCCCTTTCCACACAGTTCCTTCCTAATTCTTACCTTTTTAGCTACATTTTGTCAGAAGAGCAACTCTTGGAGTATTTGTGCGAGTGAAGTTTGATGAGCAACTGCATTCTGTGTGATAAGAGGCAAGACAAAAAGAATCTCAGTGACTGTCCACACTTCTAAATGTACCCTGAGTTTGGGAATTACACAAAACCCTATTCTAGCACCAAAACAGTTGAGACTACTGAAGAGGCTACCATTATAACAGAGGAAACTAGACTGAGAGCTGTATAGATCAATTTGTTCTCTCCAACTACAAAGATGAAAAGGGTATTCATTCAGTATACGAGTGGACCAAAAAGAAATGCAGCAAAGGCATCTACACCAGTCTGTTGTTGACAAATGTCAAATATAAACAGACCTCACAATAATTCATGTCTGAGTAAACGGAAGTGGGAAAAAGAATCATGAGCAATTTATAAGGGAAATGGAACACCCAGCGGACTTATTAGAGGATAAAACAATGTGACGTTGCCCACATTGGAGCAGAAAGCCCCAAATAAAAAACAGTATAGAGAAAAAAAAAAGGTCTAGAAGAGAGATGAGACAAAGAAAGATGACAAGAAAATTAAAATTGCAATAGTGAGATTTGAAATCTCTACCCTTGTAATAAAACTGAATCAAGCAAAAAAACACAAATCATGACATAAAGAACTTGAGAAACTCACTAAAGCACACTGCAGCCTGGATTAGCCACATTTTAAATGCAAGAGTCATATACAACTAGTGGCTGTGGTATTGGACAGCGCACAGGTTTGAGTGATTACGTCTAGCACAATGTCACACAGCTAGTTAGTAGAATTAAGATGCAGCCTTATTTATAACTCCAATGCTTATATTCTTCCCCTTTGAGGAAACTATCAAAGGTACACATATACCTGACCCTCAAGTATTCAATTCAGACTAACAAAATTCTCACTGGAGGGTGAAACTTATTAGCTATTCAAATAAAAAGCTCATAAGCTGGGTTTTTCTTTTTTTTTTTTTAACTCACAAAGCCCATTTATATAATGCCATTATATAAAATAGATGTCAGTTTTCAAAAAAAAGTTTTTAATTCTTGAGATCTATTATGTACACAAAGTATACCTTATGTATATTACTTTATGTATATCAGCATATAACAACATGTATATTATAACAACTTCTGGTTTTGGGTACTGCAAAATCATAGATACTATAAATAACCATAATTAAAACCAAACTACACATTTAATATGTCCTTATCTATAAAGTGTATCTATAGTGCTTGAAATTTCTGGATTATTTATGAACTACTTAATAGAAAGTAATATATTGGTTTCCTCATGAAAATATACTAAATTCATGTAATACCACTAATATAAATTAAAGCATTAATTAAATATAGTATATATTTCTTACTAATCCATGGCCATGTCACCCAGAAACCTAGAATTTATCTTGGACTCTCTTTTCTTTTTACTTTAGCCCCATATTTAACCAACCACCATTTTCTGTGAAACTTAATAGTTTAACCCCTCTTGAATCAACCACCTTTCTCCACTAATTTATCTCATTCTCCACTATCACCACTGTCCTCTAAGCCAATATATCCTCTGTGACCCAGACCTCCTCTTAACTTGTTATCCTCCTGCTTCTCACCATCCAGTAAGTAATCACTGCAACCAAAGTGATTTTTTTTAGTTTAAAGTGATCATATCATTCTCTTGCTTTTATTACAATCCTTCAATAACTTCTCTTAGTATTTATGATAAAGACCAAAATACTTAACTACAAACTGTCTAGAATCCTGACTAGAATTTGCAAACTCAACAACAACCAGGTTAAATATCGATTCATTTATAGTTACTTATTTCGCACTCTGAGTGGCACATGCCCCCTCTAGAGGGAGCAGCCGCTACTACATTGTGGCTTGAATATTACCATCTGAAAATACATTGGATAATAACCTCTAATTTTTCAAGAGAAATCAGAAATCCAGACTTCTACATGAAATCTCCCGAACTGTGAATGCTGACAACTAATTCGAACTTTTGTAACAACAAGAAGGAGGACAAAAAACTTGTAAGCAGGCCAAACCTGACCTCTCATCTAGTCTCATCACCTAGATCCACACACTCTGCAACAGCTATACTTAACATTTCTCAGATCCTCAGTGATGCCAAGCTTTTTTGCCTTAGGGCTCTCACACATGTTGTGTCTTCCGCTTTGACCATAACTCCCCTCAACCTCCAATTCCACTTCACTAAGTGGTCTCCTACTCATTCTGTTTCTGAGGCGCACTTCCTCAATGAAGTCTTCCTTATTGCCACTGCCCCTCCACCCCAAACTCCATAGACCAAGTCACTCATTACATGCTCTGATAGCACTGAGTACAACTTCATAACATTCATCACACCTCAAAATCAAAATTATTTATTTAATGCCCATCATCTCTCCCTAGATGGAAAGTTCCATAAAAGCAGGGCCTGCCACAGTAGGCACACATTTGTTGCTAACCGGTTATAAAATGTTCCTTTAGACAGTAAGATTCTAGTATATACATTTAAATATTAATCAAACTGTACCCAACTTTTCAGAAAATATACAGTATTTAAAGGAAAGTAGGTTCCAAATAAAAATATTCCATTACAATTATAATCACTGATGACGATAATAAACATTTATTGATCATTTACTAAATGTCAGGAACCATGTTAAGTGCTTTGCATGTACTATCTCTTTCAATAAAACAATCTGTACAGTAGATACATGCCACTAGCATACAAAGGAAACAACACAGTTTCAAAATTTCTCAGTATCATAAATCTAATCAGTGGCAAACTAGGGTATGAATCTATACTGTCTGACTCCAGAACTTAAACACCAAATTATTACACTAATCTATTAATAAAGAAATACTAACAAGTATCTCTTAAGTACTGCAAATAAGAAATCGTGGCCATGACTTATTTTCCATTATTTATCAGTTAAAGTAACAATCCTCAGCTCTCTATCCCGTACCCTTACATGCACACACACTAAATTAAGATAAACTGACAATTTGTTTTTTCTAAATTAGGTAAGGTCTGACCCATACCCAAAATACGTAGGATCTTAGTACCAACTGTAAAAATGCTATTTTTCTGAGTTATTTTTAAATAAGTTAATGTTTATACATTTGATATTTTGTTTCCACATTTGAAACATACACTTAATTTAAAATGTATTTCTTTGCTCAAAGTAAAAGAAAGTTTATTACTACAGACTCTTTTCTGATACAGTAAACAACAGCAAATAATACGCTAAAACAAATGTAAACTGATATAACCACAGAAATATAAAGAAATAATACAAGGATCCTTTGCTACCTGAACTCTATTTGAATTCTCGTTTTCCAAAACTCAGGAACCGAACAGATTCCAAAAACTGCATTAGAATCTATCCAGACTCACATGTATCTCTTGCTATCCAGACTCTTACTAGCCAAAACTCAGGGCATGGCTCACAAACCACTCCTTGCTATCAGAAAAATAACCAATCTCTCATTCCAAACTCAGGAACCCAGTAGTTTTAGATAGCTAAATACATATGCATATATATCCAAGGGCTTTATAAATTTAAGAATTCTTGTTTACACTATTTATACAGACTATTAAAAATGTGAATGAAAGGCACATATCTGTATTTTCATTCAAATTTCATATTTTAACTCCATTTACTGAGAATTTTTGTGTAAATGTTTTTCAACTAAAATGTGGTCATATTTTAATCTTTTAGACCATGCAAAATGTGTTTTTTAAACTGCTTAGTACATGACAGATACTATTAATAATAGAACTAAGTAATGTTAATGTGTGAGTGCTGTGAAACAGCTCTAAAAACAGCCTTAACACATTTTCTCAATATATTTCATAGGTTATACAAATATCATGGGAAATAAGATTTTCAAGGAAAACTACTTTCACTGTTAATTTTTCAATAACATATTTCACAGATCATGTTAGTGTTTATTCTTAAAGTCACAACACACACAGGGTAAAATTAAAGAAAGAAATCCAGTACAGTAGTTGAAAATGGGAAAAATTCCAAATTAACAACTACTCCATAAAGTTCACCCAAAAGTCAAAGAACCATCACACAAGTAATGAATTAACTAGGTTGAGAAAAAAAGAAAAACCAGTTCTCATAAAACAGTGCATTTTCCCAAATACTTAATGTAGGCTCATATGTGAACCTAAGCTTTTTCGGTGCTTGACAAAAAGTTAAAACTATCATCAGATGGGAACTGAATTCAAGCATATGATTTTTTTCCCACATACTCAAGAATTATTTTAAGAAACAGGGAAAAGATGGCAGGTTTAAGAAAAGTCAACTACTTTCCCAAACTCTTCTTTTGAGTACAAATATAAAAATTATGAAAATTGTAACTAAAGCTCCCATTTTATCCTAGTTTGGCTATGCTCTCCCCAGAGCTCACTTTAGATTTAGTGATCTGAAAGAATGTGAACCCCTTAATCAACCAAATTCTAACAGCTGCTTGACACAGTCCATCTATTACATTAAAAGAGAGAGCAAAATTAAATTTTACAAAAGTAAGTCCTGTCTACAAGCCTCACAAAGTGCAATAACTTAGGATTCAATACCTTTTAACTGATTTCATATAGAGCACCAACACACATCCCCAAAAAAAGAACAAAAACCAGGATATTTTCACGTTAAGAAATGACAGGTATATTCTGCCCACGTTTGTCATCCTAAAAGGCTAAGATTCACTACTAAGCTTCAACTACAAGCCAGAAAACGAGAGCCCTCTGGGAGAGCAAACCCAAAAGAGCTGTCAAGGTTCAATGCTTTGATTTCACATGGTGGCACAAATGACTGACTGCAACACGTTCTTAATAAATGCAGGCACAGCTTATGTCACCATTTCTTTAGGTTAAGTTTTCGTACCTCCCTTCCCAGATGTCCACATTAGACACAACTCTGAACCCAAATGTTTTTCTTATATAAAACCAAAGAGAAGAACGACTTAGATAGGACTCTATGAGTCCCTCCAGTCTATGGTTTTATTCAGCCTGTGTTGAAGTAACAATACAATTCCTACGACTCGGAAAATTACATTTTACTGCAAGGAGAAAAAAAAAAAGACAGATTCGATCCAATCACCGTACCTTGCTCTGCCAAATGTTAGTACCAGAACTTCTGAAATAAACAAACCTGTGTCTATGTTCATCGGGTCCATGGATCAGGAAGACTCCAGGGTTTTTAGCCCCTTTACCGGCATCTACATGTGGAATTAACACATCTTCTAAACCCAAATCAAAGCGTTTGTGTTTTGAAGAGTCTGGAAGGAAAAAGAATGCCCCAAAACACAGGGTGATGAAGGCACTAAGAATAAGGAGAAGAATAAACTTCTCAGAAAGTCTCAAGGTAGCCCTGTGATGTGGGAAGGAGGGCGGCCCCAGGTTCAGAGGTGGTATCCTACGTCCAGAGAGGGGCAGCAGGGCTGGGGTAGTCATCGTTTACGCTCTCGGAGAGAATACTTTAGAAAGTTCTCATCTTATGTCAAATGTACAATACATTGAACTGTCTTCAAAATCTTGGCCGAAATGGGAAAACTCAATTTCGCTCCTCTTAAAGGATTGTTGTGCTTTTTAAGAGGGCACGTCGTTCACGCCCGTCCATTTCCACTCAGAAACGTGTGTGACCTCCTCCAAACGATCACAAGTTTAGGTTCTGCGATATCCTCTTTAACATCTGTACTGCACTGGGTTATTACAAGCCTCCTCTTCATTCCCAGGGGTAGATCAGGCAAGCCACACTGCAGAAAAGCTGCAAGGTGGGTTCTTCCATTCCTGCACCTCGGTGAGATGCTCAAACGTAGTCTTCCGCCCCGAAAGGGAGCGTGGCGACATCCGAGGAGTTGTAGAAGGTTCACTTGATCTCCTCCGACGCTTCTATTTCAGAATCTCTTAACCTTAGCGGTGAAAAATATAAGGGTCTCCCACGGACGTCTGCAAACAGGGAGGAAGGTCTCCCACCTCGCTGGGAAGCCGAAGCAGGGGCGCTGGGCGAAGTAGCAGGAAGGAGTTCTCGGCCGCCCGCGCTTCCCGGCGCTGCCTGGCAGGAGCCCGGCGCCCGGCTGAGTTCTGAGGCTGCCCACTCGACGGGTGGCGCGAAGGGCAATCGCGTCCGAAATACCTGAGCCCAGCCAGCCGCCGCGGCCGCCGCCGCTGTTGCTACCGCACGAGTCTGTCAGGGAGCGGAACTTCCTGCTCCAGCGGCCACTGAGAAGCCCTGGCGTGTACCGGGGGAGGGGAAGCGCGGCGGCCGCCCCCGCCGAGCTCCTCCTCCGCCACCTCCTCCTCCTCCTCCTCTCCGCGGCCGGTTCAGTGAACCTCGGCGCGTGCTCTCCGAGCTAGGCCGTCGGCCGCAGTGGCCGAGCCCCCGCGCCTAAGAAGCCGAGCCGCGGCCCACGCTCCGAGAGCCCAGGGCAGGCGCTGGCTCATTCCTCACTCAGCCCTGGAGCGGCAGGAGGCCCGGGGCGCGCGGGAGCAGCCGCGCCTCGGGCAGGCAGAGGTCGTCCGCGTCTCCTTCCTGCCCGGCCGCGGGGGCCTCTTTCGCGCCGCCTCCGGTGGCTCGCAGCTGCTCGCTCTGGCGGCGGCTGCCGAAGAGGCAGCGCACCCACGCCGCGCGGGGCTGCGGCCCGGTCCCGGTACCCTGCCTCCCCAGGCCTGGTGAGCGCAGCAGCTGCTGGGCCGACACCCGTTGGGCTCACGCCGGAGAGGAACCGGAGGGCGGGGGCGACGGGGCCCGGGCCGGCCTACCGGCCCCGACTCGCCAGTGGGCGTCCCCGGGCGGCGGAGTGTAAGGTGCGCGCGCACGCTCCCGGCCCCGCTGCCGCCGCCCCTCCCCCACCCCGCCCGGCCGCCCGGGCTCCGGCCTCTCGCCGCCGCCGGCTCCAGCAGCCCGAAAGCGTCCTGCTGCCTCCGCCGTCTGAGCGCGAAAGAAGAGAAGATCGCCGATCGGCGCTGCCCGGAGAACTTCACCGGTGCCCAGGGCCTTGCCACCGCCAGTTCGTGGGGTTGACCCAGCGTTTAGGCGAGAGGGAGTGAGGGGGTGGGTCCCGAAGGTTTCGCTGAAATTTAGTGTCACGGGAGTTAACGGCTTCTGATGGCTTAGGTTAATGTTTAGTGTGATTCTGTGGAAGTCTTGTCTTCAGTGATAGACCATCAGGCCCGAGGATTCAGCAACAGGGTCTCAAACTTCCATGCAGCCCATCCTCACGAGGCTCCATTAATGGAGAGAGAGAGCACCAACATGTGCCATGTTTTGTGTTTAAAATAAAGTGGTGACTCTGCTCCTTCAGCTGGGCTTCCTTTCACAGGAATCTAGGTACCCCCGATATGACAGGCGCCTCTTCTTGGTTCAGTTTCTGGGGCACGTTCTATCATCTTCACACACCTCACCACCACTCTTCCCATAAAAGAAAAAAATAGGGATGAATAAGGAGGTGCTGAAACCCAAAAGGCAACAATATTGTTTACGTTCAGGCTTGAAAACATTCTGAATCAATTCTGTTCTGCATAGTATTGAGAAGAACCATGTTGTGATTAAGTGCAAAAGATTTCCTTGCAAGATACATAGACTCATGCATCCGATTTACTTGCAGGTTGTTTTTGCTGTAATATTGTCATTCCGTGTACACATCCTTTACTGATGACTGGGAATTGGAGAGGAGGCCCTTAAATGTCAGGAGAGTAAGTCAGCCTTAGCTTAAAAATCAAGCAAAAAAATCTCATGTTCATTGGCACACTTGGTAACTACATTCCAGTCTCCCAGTCTGCACTATTTCTAGAAGCTCTGCATATCTAACTGCCTACCACATGACAAAAGAAGTCATTGTCATTGATCCTGCTTCAGCAAATAAAAAGTAAAAACGTTGAGGGTCACCTCTCACCAGTTTACCGAGGGAGACTGGTAAGCAAGGAGTGCGCAGTCCCTAGTGAGATTTATGGTGGACAGTAGTGAAGAGTATATGTAAAAAACTTTCAGCCTTCCCAATGTGTCTCTATAAAATGTGCCAAATTTAAGAATAAGTCTCTAATGTTGAGACTCTGTGAGCCAAAGGGGGGGGAAAGAAGAACACAACTGTTTTCCTGCTGTTGAGATCATTATTTTCCATGAAAAGTTCACAGGGAAAGTAAATACTGAACTCTGAATGAAATAGCAAGTTATGTAAGTCTTGAAAAGTAAATATTACCTAGGTCAACACCAGACTTAACCACAAGAGATTTCAATCATGAAACCTGACATAACGTAGTTCACAAGTGTAGCTTGAGCAAGTAAGACCTCACGGCTGATGGAGAAGACCCCTTTCTCTTTGCTTGTCTGTTTTGCAAAATTCATTTTTCCTTCATGAGAGTAAAAACAATTTAGGGGTTATTGCAGATGTCCAAATGCAGCCAGCAATTTTAAAGTCATTGATGATGCAGCCAGCAATTTTAAAGTCATTGATGATACCATCAGTTATCATACTCCTACACTACCAATGAAAATATTGTATATGTAGTATTACATATATCCACTCTTCTAAAGGCAAGTCTGAGTTTTTAAAGAATTGTGTTGTTTAAAAAAAAAAAGCAAGTTGCAAATGTATTCATTATGATTATATGCACTTAAAAACACATAAAAAGACAAAGAATATTTGAAAAAGATTGCACCTGTTCTGTTAAGATACTGGTATTACATATGATTTTCTGCATTGTGTTCTGTTGTATTATATTTACCATTAAATAAAAATTACAAAGGAACTGGTGCCTGAAAAAGTTAAGGTCAGATTTCAAATAGGTGGACTGAGTCGTATCAAGATGAACACACAGACCGGCCCATCTGAAGGCAGTCAGCAGAAACAGTATGCAGCCTGTTCTATGTATGTGTGTATGTGTGTGTACATGTACAATAGGGAAGGGTTTCATTCCAGAGAGTCTAAAGAGAGTATTTCATTTTCAAAGAGTAGTTAACCTTTGATCAGAGATTCCAAAGTGATGATTTCCCTTTTACAAATGTATATAAATTAATATTTTAGAAATCAGAAGAAATTACTAAACAAAATTTACTCCTACAGATTTACAGGACCACTCCTAAGATCCACTTGTGAATTGCAATATGGAAGTTACTTGTATTTGTTCAACCATATGTTTTCTATTATTGAAACCATTTTCACACCTATTATACACACAAACACACACATGCACGTGCACACACACACGTAGCTCTGTTTTAAGTGAAACTGAAGTGCTACAGAAAAAAAAGCTGGTATGCAAAAAGAGGCTTTTGATTTACTTATGTAACCTGTTCCGACTGGTGCCCAAAATGTACAAGGAAGATAGTAGAGGAGAAATTACTGGACGTGACCACTGAATGTGTAGGGAAACAACAGGCTTCAGCCCTGCTCCTTCCGCTCTTGCTTTCCTCTATGAGGCATTTTCCTCAGAGGTCAGGGATAAACTGAGGTTCAGTGCTATGAAGCCCTCAAGTTAGATCCATGAAAGTCAGCAAAGCCAAAAAGCTTGGATGCCTCTCTGAGCCAAAGTACTTGAGGGTCATTTGCTTATAAAAGACTCATTTGTTGGAGGACTACTATTTGACAAATCCTGTACTAGGTGCTAGAGATTGGGAAAAATAAGTCAGAATCCTTATGCTCAGTGAGTTTGCAGGCTGGTGTGGAGGAATAGATGAACACTGATGATTACAGGATGGTGGGAAGAATGCTCTTGGAGCAGTGTCACGGGCTTTATGGGAACACTGAAGGGGCCACCAGAGTGAGAGGAGGTGGATTGGGAAAGTGTCAGGGAAAGTTACTGAATCCAGGGTCACCTGAGCTGAGCCTTGAACTATAAGAGAAGGATCATGCTTCAACCTAGGGAACAGAGCATGCGCAGGCACCCATAGCTAGTTTTTCCTGCCATTTATGCAGAAAATTTCCTGCTCTACTCTTCCAGTAAATAGCTTGCCTGGCCCTAATCTCGCAACACTCTTGAGTTGGGAAAGTGAAAATGGTGGGGCAGTGCTTATTACATTACAAGTAAAATGGGTTCAGAATGACTAATGGGTATTGCCAACATGTTTCTGTAATCAAAAGAGATAGATGGTATTTGTGCTTTCACAGGCAGTACCCTCTTATTTCAGGCAATGTTTTACCTCTTTACATCCATTAATAAAATGAAGCTCTTTAAATGTATATGACGTACTGCACTAGGAGTCAAAAGACATGGATTTCAAACCTAGCTCAACTCCTTACTGAGTTTCCTTATTGATAAAACATAATAGTCCTTACCTATTTTATAGGACTGTTTAAGGATCCAAGAGCTATTGTTTCTAAAATACTCTAAAGACTTGTTTGTTCTATTCAAAATGATAGGTTGCTGATGGTTGTAGTGTTTGTGTGACTTGGAAACATGAAATTCCAGTTTGTCTAGCATCCCTTTAGAAAACTATCTTTTCCCCAGTCTTAGTCTATGGGTCTATATTGGGATGATCTCTCAACCACCCACTATAGCACTTGATCCCGTCATCAACTAGATCCAGGGATGCTACCCAGATTTGACTAACCTGTGTTCCACATTTCCCTGGCCATAATGATTGGTTTGGAGAAGGACAAATGACTCAAACCAAGCTAATCCAAACCCTCCGTAGGTCATTTCCTAACGTCATCAGCAAAAGTGGTATCTTTTCCTTAGAATTACCAGCCCTGAGCATGCTGTAACCTTAGAGCTGCTGATGGCCTTCTTGCCACCATGTGAGGACATTTGCTACTAATGAAGCAAACAGAGAAGAAAAGAGCTGAAACACTGAGAGAAAAAGTATCCATATGGTATCACTCGAGCCCCTGGCAAGGGTGGATCTGGGTCTTGTGGGGCTGGAAGCATACATAATTTGAGGAGTCCTCTTTAAGAAAAATAATACAAAATTACAAATACAAAATGAATTATAAAAGTGGATTTTAGGGCTGGTGTGGTGGCTCATGCTGTGATCGCAACACTTTGGGAGGCCAAGGCGGGTGGATCACGAGGTCAGGAGATTGAGACCATCCTAGCCAACACGGTGAAAACCTGTCTCCACTAAAAATACAAAAAGTAGCTGGGTATGGTGGCATGTGCTTGTCATACCAGCTACTCAGGAGGCTGAGGCAGAAGAATCGTTTGAACTCAGGAGGCAGAGATTACAGTGAGCCAAGATTGCACCACTGCACTCCAGCCTGGCGACACAGAAAAAAAAAAAAGTGGATTTTGCTAAACTGAATTCCATTACAAGTGAGTATGTCTTAGTAATGCTGAGACCACAGCAACACCACCCAACCCATGCGACCACCAATGGAGCAGTGTGACAGATAGGAAATCAGAGTAGAAAAGAAACCACAATCTTAACCAATCATGATTGAAATATTTTATTTTTACAAGATTTAGAAAAACGTGATTATGTAAACACGTTGCTAGGACCTCTCCCAGAGCCTAAGACAGGACCGAGCAATTAGTAACCCAGAAATTTAAACTTCAATGAACTCATTGTAAATCTACTTCTCTGAATCCCAAGTATATCTAAGGCTAGTTCATCTTTTGAACTTCTCAGTTATATAAGCCTATCAATTTCTTTTTCAGTCAGAATTAGTTTCTAGGGCTTACAATCGAGTCTTGACTAATACACAGCGTGCCTTTACATGGAGGTACTGTGGCTGGTAGTAGTATGTGAAGTTTCAGTCATTTTACAAGTATAAGTGATCAGGGACTAGGAAGAACTCGCTCTTTCAGGTAGGCAACAAGCTTGGGCCAGGGACAAAAGCAGAACGAAACCAGCAGAGAAGATGTCACTTTGGTCAGCCAGGGGAAGAAAACC